CTAGGGGGGTATCCCTGGGTTTGCTGGGGAGTCATCACTTTTGGAGGGGACCCCCCCCCTTATTGATAAACAGGGCTTGATTAATATGGGGTGAACATTTTGGGTCTGCTCGAAACGATTGCGACTCTGGTGGCCAACAACGCCACCGAGCATTTTCTCGGGCTGCGATGGCTCATAGTCGAGCTTTTGAGCGAGTGAAAGGTCGATGCCTCCCTTGCGGCCTGTTTCATCATTTTGCGTACATCAACCATGCACACCGTTCAAAGGAAGCCCAAGGTCTGAAGTGCATGTGAATTTGAATTGGGCGCCGTTTGGACATGATTCAGGTGGGAATTGATCTTTTAAGAGGGCTCCCATTCAAATTCAAACGAATTCCCAACCACCATGCACGCAAAATGCACCAAAGATTTTGCCTACATCAACCATGCACCCCGTCAAAACGAATTCCCAACCGAGCGTTTCTCCATTTTGTGTACATCAAACACCCCGCTAAAACGTAACCGTGTGCGTACATCAACCAAACACCCCGTTCAAAGACCTATTCCCAACCCACCCTCCCAGTTGCCGGCTCAAAGAACCTTGGGGCACCCTGCACTCGGGGAACACCGCGACGCCGGAGGCTTGCAGCTGGAAAAACTCCTTGCCGAAAGGGAGCGGCTTTCCTATGGGCACGTGAGGTGACACTTGGGGACGTCTGAACAAAAGCCATGCCACCCTTCAAAACAATTAACATACTCAAAAAAGAACGAAAGAACGAATGAAAGAAAGAAAGAAAGAAAGACAGAGAGAAAGGAAATCACATATGAAAGCCCCATGTTATTTTCGGGCAAGATATGAAGGCACATGTCTTTTCCTCGGGCAAGATCCGATGGTCAAGACCAATGAAAGCGTTTTCAAGGGTAGGTGGTTGAATAATGCAACAGGTTTACCATCCTTTCTGTTCAGAACCTAGATAGCCAAGTTGCTGCTTTTTTCAGTCACTGTTGTTGGTTTTTGGGGTGTAGTGGATGGAAAAAAGCAGCAACTGGCGATCCAGGAGCCTTTCAATCCAGTACTATCTCTTCTGCTAAGTGCAAGCCATAAGCTTCATGTTTGCTTGGCCACAGGGGAAAAGACCGGACAAGCCTGATGGTTACGAACTGGGGTTTAGGGGATCATATTCTGTGATCCACAAGATCAACAACAAAACATGTGGAAGGAATGACCTTGAAGATCAGTGTCTTTTTTGTGTGGGGCGAGGATTCTTTTGATCAGGGGAGTAGCCACTGTAACCGTTCAGAGTTCAGACCCTGGTATTTGCCTCTCCCGGAAAAACCGTTAGAAAACCTCAATCCCAAAGACGCAACTGAAGGCACTTGTCAGGTTGCGGTATTTCACTGGCCCAATCACAATTCAGCTTCTACCCAAATTGGTGGAGCCAATCGGTGGTTTGGACGTTGGGGTACCAAAACTAAATTTGGCTTAAGGAACTGAGGGTCCACACATGTCCACACCACCAAACCACCAATCCACACCACCAATTACCTGAAAAAGCCATCGCTTTCGCGGCCGCAAGCCGCGGGCGAAAGACAGGTTTCGGCCTCAAACAAAAAACATGGGACACGAGATGTCCAATGATCCACTTCGAAGCTGGAAGTATGACCTGTCAGCACAAGCAACGTCTGCGGTTCGAAAAACATGCGGACGATATCAGCTCAAGAGCTTGGAGGTCAGCACACCCGAAGCTAAACTTCCTGTGGGCTCCTTCTCTGTACATTTTGAGAAACAAAAGGCAGCATTTTAATTTGCCCTTCGGGCAAATCAGAAACATGCGTGGGCACACCTGCCTACATAAATCATATAAATGATAAAACCCCAAGTGAACATGAAACAAACACACACAAACAATGTGTTTCTCTGTATAAGACCTCATGAATATCCATCCCAGCGTTTCTTTCCCCGCCCGTTACCTCCCGCCCTATCCGGGACGGTGTCCTTGTGCCAGCCTGTGACAAAGTCAACGGACTGGCCCTCGCTTGGTCCGGAGACCGGGGAATGGCCAATCCGAGGGCCACTTGAGTCATAATCAAAACCCGGTTTTAAAATGGTCGACCAGAACCATGTAAAGAAGTAAGAACGCAGCCGCAGCTATGGTTGGGATTGTCCCTTGCTAGCCTTCATCTTGCCAGGTTTTGACTGTGGCTCGCTTGGGGCGGGTCCTCAAAATGTCATGCGTGTGTTTGTCTCAAAATAGGGGAAGGCCTAGAATGATGGGGTTTCGATGCGGTTTCCCTTTTAAACCCACCCGCAAAAAAGGGTACTTGGAATTGAACTTTGTATCAGCCCAGAGGTGAGAATTTTCGATGTTTCAAGGGCAAGTTCATACTTGGATGTTGGTTGCCGACCCACTAACAGCGTTCATTCCACACCTGGAACTCGTGAGTGACTTAGAACCGAACAGTTACTACAACTTACCCACTTGGCTGTGGCTCAAAAAAACCGGAATTCCAAAATGGAACCCTGGTAAGTGGAAACATGATGAAACATGGGTTACCCAAAACCTGCGGTTTGCCCCCTCCGACACCACCCCCCCGTAGCCATGGCTTTCAACCAGGTGCCCTTTCTCCGGGCTCCACAAGTCACAGCCTGAGTTTGTCCTCCTCTTGCGGGTCGCCTTTTGGGGTTGCTTTTTATAGGGTACCGAAATGGACACTTGGATCACTTGGATCTAGCCTTCCAATCTTGAGAAGGTGGACGATAGTTTTGTTTTGTCCTCTTTTTTTTTTTCTTCCGGAACTCTTGAGGCCACCGACTTTTGAGACACATGATTGCTGGAGAATGGGTATTTTTCGTGGACCAGCTTCAAAGATGGGGCCCATTTCCATTGCCTCAACACCTCTCAAGAAGCGGAAACCCAGCACCCAAGGGTCATTGCATGATCTACCCGAATGTCTTGCAGTTTGCCAACGAGTTGCGATCCAACTCTGCGACAAGGGCTACATACCACAATAGAGTGCACAGTGGCAAGGTTGGTAATGTTCGAAAGGCATCCGCCACGGAAATACCATGCAACAACTGGCAACAGTCGACTCTGACAAACCCAAGGATAGTTCCTCGAAAAAGATACTGAACATTGAACGGTCAAAGCTGTGTTCCATGTGCGAGACACTCCCGTGGTCCTCTTGATGCAGCTTTGGATTCAGGGATCTTATTCGTTTCTTAGCATCTTACACCACCTTGTACGAGTAAAGTCCAAATCAGCTGGTATTTGGGGAAGAACAACTGTTCAGTGGCCCCAGCTGGAGGCATTGTCTAAAACAAATGGATTTGGACCCCCCCCCCCCCCAAATGGTGGCTTTCATGTGGGTTCTCCTTTTAAACCGGTTTTTCATTACTTTTCTCTTTAATCAAAAAAAAAGGATTTGGACACCCGCGAATGGTGGCTTTCATCTTGCTTTCCCTCCCAAACCGCAGCCACCAGGAGGCTCCTTCGCACGCGGATGCAGGCGCGACCAAGGGCTCCCGGCGCCCCACTGGTCGATGATGTAGCTGGCGTGGGCTTGCAGCTCGATGAGGCCATCTTCCGACAGGCCCTGGCCTCGGAGAGCGCGAGCAACGCGCGGAGAACGCGCAGGTCCCGCAGGGCCCGCGGACGAAGACGGTAGGTCCTCCAGGGGAGAGGTTGGAATAAATTGGTACTTTTTCTTTAGTAGGAGAACCGTCCCCAAAAAAAGTTGGTGAAAGTTGGCACCTAGCTGGGGGACCTTGAAGAGTTCAACGCCTGGCGTGTCATTTGAACCTCGCCGCCTATATGTCCGATTGGGCTCCTATATTTCCCTCTTAGGCCCAAGATTTCTGCAAGCTTTGCAATAATTCAAATTTCTGAAACAAGGAATCTGCAAGTGAAGGATCTTTACCATGGTGAGCTCGTTCTCAGGTGAGCTCGCCATAAAATATGCAGATGTGTCCTATTGGGCCCCTATATTTCCCGTCCTCATAATTCTGATACTGTATTTCAAGATATTTCAAGCCATTCACTCACCAGTTTGGCCCAATGGTCAGGTGAGTGGCCTGGGGTGATGTTGGCTTCAAACATGGCCCAATCACACTGAAATTGGCCATGGTGATGTTTGAAGCCGAGGGGATTTAGGGACCCCTTGTGTAAGCCGCGACTGTGCGTCTGTGCCCTGGCAACTTGACTGGGCCGGTTACGACGGCTGCGAGGTTCAGGCATTTGACATAGGTATGGCTTCCTGGTCAGACAGGTTGGGCGCATGTCCCTCTAACCGCCCAAAAGGTACCGCTCAGCGCGCGGCTACTTGTTGAGACCCCTGGTCTCAGGAATGATTTTTTATCCGCCAGCCCCACAGGTTGTCGGCTATGGGCCTGAAAGAATCAGGGAGAAAATGGTAGCGAAAGGAATGCACAACGCATCATCAACCCACCAAGACACGACTTTGCTGGCCCAGAACAGCCTTGCGCATGCTCAAAGGGTGGACGACCATCTTCTTGAGCAACGGACCAAATTGCCAAAATTACCAAATCTATGGTATCCCCATAGTGGCTTTGCAGACGAAGGCCACAACTTGGGGGATTCGTTCTGAGAAACCAAAGTGTTCTCTTAAGACTCCTTAAGCCCAATCTCCTTATCCCATGAGAAATCCCCACTAGGTCCTCCAGTAGAGAGGTTAGAAGAAGGGTAATTACCCTTTTTTCTGTAGTTTAGCTTAGTAGGGGAACCGTCCCCCGAAAAAGGGTGAGAAAGGGGACTACTGGGGGACCTAGCCCAAATACGGGCTGCGCTCCTTGGGTCTAAAAGTCGCCCCTGTCCCGAGGAATGCCGAGCCGCTGAGGGCCTCAGCCCTCAACTCTCGGAAGTCTCGCCAAATCGGCGCGAAGCCTTCGGGGCGTGCGCCGGGGTTCAACAGCCCTGAGCCGCCCAACACCCACCTAATCAGGTCCTCCAGACTTGAGAGGTTAGAATAAGTTGGTACCAACTTTTTCTGTAGTCTATTTAATAGGGGAACCCTAGCTGTGGGACCTAGCCACGGTGTCAGTCGTACTGAGCTCGGCCATGGATTCCGTGAAGGACATCAAACGCACGCAAGAGAACTGAGAAGCAGGAAACCCACTGGCCCAAAGCGGATGGAGACATATAATAGGATGGCAAGCTACTGACTGAAAGAAGCAGGTCCTTGCGCAAGAGCAGTTTTATCGTTCCAAGCTCAACCTGTTTGTAGGGAATGAAAGGAATAAAGCACACCACAAGCAAGGAGAAGATGAGTAAGTTATACAAGCCAGAAGGTAAACCCCTGCAGGAAATGATTGGTGGGTATTCCCGAATTCCCCGTTAAGAATAAGCAAGTTGGTCTTTAAAATGAGGGACCCCCAAATCGATGAAGCCAACCCCTAAATAGCCCCCCCTGTTGCAACAAACCAGCACCCAAAGCACCCAAACCACCCAAACCTGGAGTGGCTATGTTGACTTTAAAGGGAAGCTCCAAGGAAAACAGAGAAGGTTCTCACGTGCCTGGCTCTTGGCTTGTTGAAAACACAACCCTGCGATTCCATTGGAGGGGGGGAGGGTTGATATTTTGAGAGGGCAACCCGCTCTAAAACCAAGCTTCGACAGGTAAAACCAGGGGCAAAAGGGCACTGGGACCAACCATATGCGTCAAATTGCAGCCAGGGATTTGGACGCCCAACATGGACTTTGGTCTTCCGATGGATTTGGACCCCCAAAACATCTACCCTCCAAAAAGCGGATCTTTCGTGCAGCCGAAAAAGGTCACCGCGTAATCCTATGCGCATCCCACGCATAGGAAGTGCCCGAAAAAGGTAAAGGCTACCCTAGCCACAAAGCAACATACGTATGGGTGTGGGTTCAAATCCCGAACCCCCAGTGAACATCCCAATCCCCAGTAAAATAGACTAAAATGGGTGGTGCACCTACCCCAAATGGTACCATTGGTTTTGACCCACAGCCATAGGGTGTGTCTTAAAATAGGTTGAACCCTCCAAAATGGTTGGTTTCCTTTGGTTCCCTTCAAACCAAAAGGCCAAGGGTGTCTTATCGGTAAATGGATACATGGACTGAGCGGTCCCCTTGGTAAACTTAATTTTGACCCACTCATATCCTCGGGCAGGACTCGCCGAAGAAAACTCGCGCCTGGCCCTTCGCAAGACAGGAAACTGGGATACGCTCGCTCGCCTGAGGGCAAAACGCGCACCGCATCGCAGGGCTTTTTCGTGGGGTCTGAAAAGCAAGCGACCCCAACAACTGGGTCGATTTCCTTTTAGGTTCCTAATATCCTGGATGCACCATCTTCAGGACCCATGTGCACTTAGGTCCTTCAGACATCAAGCGCCTTTATTCCCCAAGCCGAACGGGTGCATCAGACTTGAAAAAATATCAGAATGACAACCATGGCAGAACAAACGAACTGGTGAGTCACAATCAAAACCTGGTATTAACATCGACCCAGAATCATGTAAGGAAATACAACGGACATCCGGAACGACTTATGGCCAGAGGATTGTCCCTTAACCTTCATCTACCTGGGTTTTGATTCTGGCTTGGGTTTTGAAATTGAATTGACGTGCAAAACGAAGAAAAAAATAGAACAAGTTCTTAGAGCCTTCTGGAACCCGAGAACCTTTCTAGGGTACCCTAAGGCTCATGACCCCTCCAGTGCAGGGCCCCGGGCCCTCCAATGAAGAACCCGGACCCCTCAGGGGACCTTGAAAACAACCCATTTTGAGGGCCCAAAAAGCATCGGGAGCCTTAGGGTAGGTCTATTCCTCCTATGAACTTTGCAAAGGCAAGGTCCTTCAATGCCCGACTCATTGCATCTTGGGTTGTCAATCTGTCGGACCCTTTTGGGCATTTTCTTACGGCACCTGGTCCCGAAACGGGACCCTTAAAGGAGCCGGCCATATTTTTATGGCGACCGCGATCAGCGTTTGAGCTCCTGTTCTACAAGTTGCTCTGTCACATGGGCTTTGGAGGGCCTCCTTCCAGGTCATGGCGAGTTCTTGAGATTCAGCAAAAAAGCCAGTGGTTGTGGGAGTCTGGGAATCTACCTGTTGAAGCCGAAAACAGGAATGAGACCCAGACTCGACGGCCAAATCCCAGCCCCCCCCATTTTGGTTACATGCTCGCTCTTGCTCTACCCACAGGCAAGCGTGCCATTCACTTTCATCCTTGAGTATCTTTTCGTGGGGGACTTTTTCCGAGCTCGTCCCCTGAGAGAGAGCACCCTCAAGTCAGCTGTGGACAAATGTTAATGGCTTGCACACACCGCCAACAAACGTCGCCACCATTGCTAAGCTGTAACTTCCATTCGGGGGTATGGCTCGCCCAGGTCCCACTTCCCTCGTAGACCAACAAAAAATACAGACCCATGTCCCTTCATTTCAGCAACTGAAAGGTAGGCAACAGGTTGGCGCCTTTTGGAATGCGGCAGTCAATAGCGATGCCCTGTCCCGTGTTCCGACGTGTCTCCGGCCTTCCAGCAACATCAGATCATCTCATGGCCCGCAAGAAGTTGCTGGCTGTGAAGTGTTTTTCGAGATCATGGGCCTATAAATGAACGCAATGAGACGGGCATCACTTCAGTGAAAGCAAACGCATCGGTCTGTGTGTGAGTGTGTGTGTGTGTGGGGCTTCAAGGCTAGTAAAAGCAAACAGTCATGCGTGCGTAGCAAGTGAAACATACAAACACGGGTGTGACCTTTTAACGGTACTCTGTTTTGGAGCGGTTTGAAGGGAAATCAAATTGTTTGAGGAGGTTCCCTTATTTTGAAACTAAGCACTGAGCACCATGAACATCTGGTACCTTTCCCCGGATTAGGAGCACGCCCCGGATCTCAGAACGCGCCACGGCGACGGCTTTTGTTCCATCCAGTCAAGTCAGTGCCCGAAAATCGTGTTTTCTTTTGGTTTTCCTTTGAAAATACGAATCAAAAGGAGTCAAAAAGCCATTTTGAGCGACTCTGAAAGTCATGGTCATGGTGCCGTCCCTGGAAGCCTGAATGCTTGTTTAGATTCCCCATCCAGGACCATCTCTGGCCCAAAGGGTACATTCCGAATGCCAGCAAAGTCCACTTCGGATTCCGGACGAGGGTCAAGTTGGCTTGTCTTCCGATACCATTCAACCAAGATTCCCCCTCCGACCAACATGGCACCTGGATGCTCAATTTCCTTTGGAACGAACCCGCCGTGGGAGGGCAGGTACCAACTTGGCAAGAAGCGGAATGGCCCCTTTGGCAATTCAATTCCCCCCAACCAAATCGCAAGTTGATCACACATGTAACCAATGGCTTTGCGGATCATTGGGCTCTTGCTCCCTGTTTTCCGTTTTTGTATCCCTGGCTCCGCTCCCCCAATGTCCACGGCCAGCGAAGCTTTGAACAGCAAGCTCCAGTCGTTTCCCTTCGATGAAAAGCAACTGAACACAGTAGATATATTTACGACCCCTGCCGGTTGTTCAATGTTGAAACCAATGAACACTTGCACATGCTGTTCACCCTTGCTGACGCCAGGTTCATAAAGTCTTGGTCGAGTCACGGTGTCCCATTTCATCCGGCTCCTCCACTTCCAGAGAACCCTCGTGATCGATCCGGGTGCGCGTTTTTATTTCCAGGTCAACATGAGTGCAACTAGTCTTCCAATTGCTTAAGACCCCTGGAAAAACATAACATACTGCCAGTAGTGATAGATTCCCTTTGAAGCCAACAGGGGAAAATAAACAAACGTATTCTTAAGCAAATGGAAGTCGTTTCATCAAAGCAACCGTCGGTCAGTCACATTGCTTTACAATGACCTCTTCAGTTTCAATGCAGATTTCAGATTTCAATGGTCTGAATTCGAGGATTTCAGTAACTAAACGAAGAATCTACGCGACAACAGATCCTGCGAGTCTTCGGGATTCCTTCTGGTCCATGTTGTGCTTGACGCTCGGTACTTTGGGGTTGCTTGAAAGGGAAGCCGAAAGGAAACCGTTGCCATTGGGTTCCCCACTAGACAAATGCCAAGCGGCAAGAATATGCCAAAGCGATCGCTCGGCAGAAGATCACTGGAGGTCTTTCTTGTGGGCGAAGCACGAGATCGCGCACCTCTTGTAGGTAGCGTGGCATTGTACTTCTATTGCCAAGCCACCAGGCAAAGACCTGCTTTCGGGTGAGGCAAAAGACATTGGAAGCAAATCTATGCCATTGCATGCGGGCCGTAGAACGTGCACAACAGCTAGGCTGGAGGTGCTGCATCACGTCATACATGTTGTTTGCCATGTGTGGTTGAGTTGTTGCAATTTGGCAGCTTTGCATTAGTTTCTCAAAAAGAAGCTCGCCCCAACATCTCAATCGGCATATGGCTGCGCGAAAGGTGCCCTGAGTCCTCGATGTCCAGCCAAACTGTTTGGGAGTAGTCTTAAGGGAAACCAAGGAACCAAGGAAACCACGGAAATCCGAAGGGAAACCAACCAGTTCAGAGATTCGAGACACACCCATTTGCGGAGCTTGCAAGTAGCGTGTATGCACATGTTTTGCTATCTTTCACCAATCAAAATTGAGGGATCCCTAGGACCTAGGTAAGGGACCTTAATCGTGGGCGAGCTCGTTTGGAAACCCATGCGAGCTCGCTAGTAGGTCAGTCAGTATGCTTCCTTTTGGAGTTGCGACAGCGAGAAGCTGTTGAACAGATCAAGGCATGCAAATCTGCTTCCTCGACACAAAGACGACATCGTCGTGGGCCACGCTTGTTTTTGTGGCCACGAATTGCAAGTCGGCAGTGTGCCCTCCGAACATCCACGGCACCAATGACCGAGGTCGCTCGGAGCAGAAAAAACTGACATTCTGAGCACCTGGACCTTGCTATGAGGTACCAACAGCAGACCCCGAATTGAAACTTCGACCTTTGGCAGGCAGAACCCAACTGAACAGTCAACGTTCGAGTGCCCATCTTGAATTTCACGCATTTCAGGCGCGCACCGCGGTCACCCGCAGTCTGAGCTACCGCAAAGAGCTCGAAATCTGGACATAATTTGAGATCCCTAGTAGGAATACGTAGGAATGGGGGGATGCAAACTGGTCAGGTCTCTGCACATCACATCAGGTCTCTTCATGCTGGCTTGAGCTTGAGGCACAATGGGAATCCGGGTTGTAGACATGCCCAAGTACCATTTACAAATCTGGGCTGCCCTCAGATCCCCTGCTAAGAGTTTAATTTTTAGTGGGTTAAAGGGAAACCACCACTAAACACTAAAAGGCTAACAAGCTAAGGGGATGGTTGGGATCCACCAAGAAACGTGTGCCACTTTCTCAATAACAGAAGCAGCTTTGAAGAGTGCAACCATCCACCACGGCCAAAAGCCATCACCAGACTGGGAATTGTTGAGACAATGTCCATAGTGATTGCAATTGTGTGGCTCTGCTGGCACTCATGGTAGTTGACAACCTGGGGGAACAAACTTACACATGGACAACAAAAGGCATTTGGGGCACGTGGGGACAACCAAATCGTGCCGCTTTTCGATATGTCCTTTCTTCCGACACGTCCCACTGGCTCTCTGCAGCCCGAGGGAGCATGGATTGCCCACACAACCCCCGGCAGCGCGTCTTAGCCGCCGACGGCGACGCCGCGACGCACGGATCTATACAAAAGCTGACCGGTCACAGCTGCAAGGTCCTGACAGAGGGAGCTCACAAGGCTGGCTTTCCTTGACTTCACTGTGGTCTAATCCATCATGGACACTTCCGGAATCCCGAGAAGAAAACGGGGCAAACGGAATACTCAGCAAGAAAGAGCCAACAACTCATGATCACATCCTCGAAAACTGAGCTGTCCTCGCATGATCCCCCGCTAACAGTTTAACTTTTAGTGGGCTAAATGGAATACCCCGTTTTCACACTAAAAAGCTAAAACGCTCAGGGGATGGCTGGGAGCCACCAAGAAAATACCACAATTCTTCAGAAGCTTGATATCAGTCAGCTGGCTGGGTCTGGGTGAATGAGGCAATTAGCAGACCTGCACTTCACAGCGAGATTTCTCAGACCCAACAAGAGGACTGGCATACATGTATGTGTATATATATATATATATCTATGTCCCTGAGGCTCATGACCCCTCCAATGCAGGGCCCCGGGCCCTCCAATGAAGAACCCGGACCCCTCAGGGCCCTTGAAAACAACCCATTTTGAGGGCCCAGAAAGCATCGGGAGCCTTAGGGATTCACATATGTGATTCATACACATATAGCCGCGGTCCAAAGAAAACACATCCGTTTCAGTGAGTCGCCTATTGGGCCTATGGTTCTCCAAGTTGTGGCTTTCTGCAAGGCTATCGCTCCAAGGGTTCTTCGCTCTTTGCGAGCATATCATGTTTCATGCGATTTGCACGAATCAAACTGAACAACGAGAATCGTCATTCTAAATCTGCATGACGGTAACTTTCACCCTTTCTTGTATACATATATATATATATGTATTGTTCTTTGTTGCTGTTGACCCCTCTGCAAAAAGTTGAACTCTTTGTGGGTTTCGTGGAACACCCCTTGATTTCCCAAAACGTTAAAGTCCAAAGATCCAATCCAATAGCAGTCGATCTACACATGTATGTGTATATTATATATATAACAGTTTCTTTTATATCCATAATGTGTGCGTGTGTGCGTGTGCTGTGTTTCCGGGGGTTTGGCATCTGAGACCAGCGTGGAATCTTGGGACCTGGTAGGACAAATCATTCGAACTCGACCCGATATGAAGCAAGCCATGGGTGACGACGAAACTAAAACAGCTCTTAGATTAACGTCGAAAACAAAACACACACACCAATGCGAATCTTCGCGAACTCGAGGACTCGTGATGAATGCAGGTCTTAAAATAGGGGAGGCCCAACAGCACCCCCAATGCGGGTCTTAAAATAGGGTCTTAAAATATGAATGCCTGTTTCTCTTTTTCCCTGAGCACCCACAGGGGAGTCACCACTATGGACACTCTGGCTGAACCTTATGGAGAATCTGGATCGCTTGAATGGCACACTGCCAGTGACTTGACCAGCTGACTCAACATGCAAAATCTTGACTCAGCCCAAAGGACCTGGTATTAAGGACCTGGAAATACCAGGTCCTTTTGCAACCTGGACTATGGACCAAACCTGGCAACAAAAAGCATCAGACGGGTCAAAAGATCGATTCGAGTCGCCATCCGATCCTCGAGTCTCGGACCCGTTAGACCAGCTCCGAGAGCGGCAGCGGCCTCAGCCTCAAGCGAAGTCACCAGTCCCTCACTTCCTGAGTGGATTGGCCAACATATGTCTGAACTTTTCATTTACCACAAAAAGTGTCCTCCCAAAAAGCTTCAAGTCCAGGAACTCAGGAAGTGAGACTTAAAGGAACGTGCGTGTGTCCGTGCGGGCGTGCGTGTGTCCGTGCGGGCAGGCGCGTAGCGATCTGGCTGGTGGAAAAGTCGCTGCAAGGCCCGCCCGGAACAAGCTCCATGCCGCAAGTCAAAGCTTGGACAAC